AGGACTGGGCGAGTCTCACAGGAGCTGTGCTATAGATACGACTCAAGGAAGGGAAGAAGCCAGTCCTGGGAAGCAGTTGTCTCCCTGGGTACCATTATCATGGTCAAACTGAGGCTACAGATATGATGCTTGATACCATGGGTTGCTGCTGCCTAGAGGTACTGTGGTCATCTTAGTTTATCCAAGTACAGCCTGTGAAATTCCCATATGCCACAATCTACTTCAAGACTGGTTTCTTAGAACAAAGCCCTGATTTTCAGCTCTGCATAACTACAACCCTCAGAGGACTATGGGAAACTATGAGTTTTCTAGAAACCTTGGTGAGATATAAATCATGAGGGGGACCCTCCTGCATCTAGTGGAGGTAAGGTAATTCTTGTTGTTCTGAGTTGTGTGACATGCTTTGATGTCCTCTTCCAAGCTTAGGACACTGAGCATTTGTTCGGACTGTGGGTTTTCCTGGGGAAAGCAATGGACTCTGGGATGCAGGAGAGAGAACTTCTACACAGATGATGGGAGAGAGGCGGGTCAGAGGTCAGCAAGTGGTGGTAGAGAGGAAGACCCATGAGAAGATGCGTGCTATTTCCAGGGTCAATAGGACCTCCCAAGTGTTCGACAAGAAGAATGACATGGACAAAGAGTGAAAAGGAACACCTCACGTCAGGATAGGCTGGGGCTGGGTCCCTCACCGCGGCAGGGGCACTGGAGTTGGGGCCCAGTCCTCAGGATCTCTCTTATTATACTAAGAAGTCCTCTGACCCACATCACCTTGGTGGAACCTACATGAGCACGCAGGGCTCTCCCTCACCTGATCGTTAAGCAAATGGAAATAATAACACAGGGTGTTTTTGACTTCCAGTGAACATTCATTCCAGGTATGCTAAAACACGCTGATAGCTAGTACACCAGAATCAATGGCGCCCTGGAAAGTTGGGGAATAAGTTCCATGGCTCCGATTCAGAAGAGACTGAGCTTAGCGTGCAATGTGGCTCTGAGTGTGTCGCACTGTTTCCTGCTAGGAGCCCTGGCTTTAAAGGAGTAGACACTAGCTGCTGAGTGTTTTCCCTCCAGTGGGGGCAGTACCCGGAGCTCTCCCAGGACCTGGGTAATATTCTTTGTTGTTGTTCATTGTTTTTTTTTTTTTTTTTTTTTTTTGAGTCTAGACTGTTGTTTGAGTCTTTGCTAGTCTCTTCATGTTCACAGAGAACCCCGTCAGCCCTTTTTATGCACTGGACAGCCTTTGTGAAAAACAAAGGAATTTGAAAGCGCAGCCATCAAACCTATCCCTTTGTTTTGGCCTAAAAGTTTCACAGAAACAGACCACGGCAAAAAATTTACCCTCTTGGCTACAGTCTCCCAAACCCAACCTGAAATCCTATGCAGTAGCTATGAAATGAAAGCCTCTAGTCTGTCCTAGCAACAATGCGGTCACTTGACAGGAGAGCAGTCTCAAGCAAGGGGTTCTTCTTCATACCACTCACTGGACAAGGTTCAAGGGTTTGTTGTCTGCCAGGCCTTTACCATTGTTTTGCTTACAGTGGGGGAGGAACTGAGTTCAAGACGTAATAGTATCTCTGGGACTCGGTGGTGAGCTGGACACACAGGGAGTAGCTGTAGGTTTGTTCATTGGGGAGCTGACGAAGTAGTGAGGGGCTGGGGTGGAGCTCCTTGGAGGAGTATGACTGAGCATGCCCAAGGCCCCAGATGCCATCTTTAGTGCTGGAGAGAAGAAAAGCAAAGTGGAGTAGGCTCAAGGTTCACAAAATTAGAATCATATGTAAAGGTCACACATTTGATTTTAGATGTGAAATAGGTTTTATCTGCATAGTTTAATGGCAGTCCATGAAGTTTTGCTGACTCTTTCCCATCCCATTAGCAAAACCATTCTTCTCCATACCCTGGTGCTGTATCGGCTTGAGCTGGTGGACTTGAGCTTCCCTGGCTCCTAAATTATATGGCTGGAATAGGTGAGATATATTTTCTGAAAATATAAGTAACTGTAGAAATTTACCAAATATGTAAATATAAAGAAAAGTCTAAAATAATGTACAATCTCCTCACTAGGATGGTTCCTGAAGACATGGAGGTGCAATAGCGTTCAGTCTTTTCCCCTTTAGTGTGCACTTACACAGGCATGGAGGGGAGTGTTAATATAAACACCTCACTTCCATCCAAGTCTTGAACTTCTATCAAGAAATCCCATATCATCATTCTTTAGAACAACTTTCTTATGACTGCAGAACACTCCACAGTATAGATATCTTGCTGCTTTGTAGCACTCTGACTTGCCATTTAGATAATTTATGGCTTTTGAATATGAGTAGTTATTTATTCGTATCTATGTTTCTTATCATGTCTTGGCACATATTTCTGTCAATGGGGTCTCGTAGAAATGATGAGTATTCTCAGACACGATGTTGACTGCTGGTCGAAGGGCACATGCTTTGGAGTTTGTTCAGATTTGGGACTTTGCTATCAAGACAGCATCTTGGTGTCCACGGAGGAAAGCTTCCTGGGGAGATTTGTATATTTTATGCTAACATAGGAGAGTCACATAGCTCATTTTCCTTAGTAAGATGTCTACATTTGTGATTGAATACAATTTTCTGAGATATATTAACTTAATTGGTGTGCTATATTAATGAACTGTCCTAACTGTTGAAATAGAGAACTATTATAAATAGGGACTGAAAAGATGGTTCAGTTGGTAAAGTACCCACCCCACTAGTTTGAGGGCCTGAATTTGGATGCCCAGCACCCAACATAAAAAGCCATGTGTAATAGCATTGATTCTTATCACGTCAAATTGACAATTGAACTTAGACCCACTAGTTTGAGGGCCTGAATTTGGATGTCCAGCACCCAACATAAAACACCAAGTGTAACAACATATACCTCTAATCTCATTACTGGGGCAAGGGAGACAAGAGGGTCCCTGGGACTTTCTTGCTAGCCAGTCCAGATGAATTGCTAAGGTCTAAGTTCAGTTATTAATCTGACTTGATTAGAATCAAAAGGCATTCAAGTTTAGCCTCTGGCTTCTACTTGTGCATGAATGTATGTGCACATGTACACACACATACACATGTGTAGATTACCTATGGGTCACACACACACACACACACCTGCACATATACACATAGAAGTGATAAATACTTGGTAATGAAATATCACAAATAATGATTCCTACATTACATCCACACTGACTCACTTTCTGTATGCTCCAGAAAATACATTAGAAACTATATTTTTTGCCTTCTTTTCAAGAAGAGGCCTGAAGATAATCTCTGACTGTAGCCATTCTTCCTTTGAAAATGTGCTTCTCCCTCATAAACTTGTAGGGAGAAACTCACTCGGCCGGCAAGAGCGGCTGGGACACAGTCGATCTCTCTCCTTATGGATTCAGGTGGCAAATGTGCTGTTAAAACAGTGGCTAGTATCTCCTGTGTGGAGCGAACAGTGTATCTAATGAGCATGTCCTGCCATACAGTTAGCTAGCACTTTGCCCTGGGGGTCTTGTTTCTCGCATAAGTTCTAGAAGAACAATTCAGCTAGCCGCATGTCTGTCTTGCTGTGTAGCGTCCATTACTGAACTATCACGTATGGAACCTGACTTAGATGCGCAGGCATTTTAAATATCTGGACCGTGCCCTTCCTTTAAATGACTACCGTGGCTTCTCCGTTTCTAGATCCATGTATAAGTTTGGGTGAACTTAAGGTGACATTCATCTGCCATCCACATTTTACCACTCAGTGGGAGACTGTTGTGTTCTCAGACTTGGATCTTATCAACTGTGTCCTGGTTTATACAATAGCTCAACAAGATCTCAGACTTAGTTGGCTATGCCCTAGAACTCCCTCCTTGTTTGTGGTCTTGGGGATAATCCCAGGCCTCCATCACTGTCACATGTGCTCTGTTGCCAGGCTACGCTCCAAGAGCCAAGGTGTTCCCTCTATATTAGTATAGGATTTCTCATGCTGAATCTTCCTGGTCAGTTTATAAATAACGAGGAATTGGAGGGATGGCTCGGTGGTTGAGCATGCCACTGCTTTTCCCAGAGGACCAGAGTTCTGGTCCCCTCACCTACATCAGTGGCCCTCATCCTCCTGGAACTCCATAGGACCCAGAACTGTCTTCTGACTGCTGGGGAACCTGCACACATGTGCCTGTATATTCACACAGATTCATGAATAATGAAACAAATCTTTCTGGTAAATGAAAGGTAGATCCTATCTGTGACAATGCCTTGATCTCATCATAATTCAGCTATTAATTTTCCCTGGTTTTGTCTTGCCTTTTTAGTCAGAACAAAACATAAAGATCAAGAACTCTGGCTCGGGCATCTTTTATTGCCTGCAGGCCCATCAGAGAACCTAAGAATCAAAGATGTTCATTAGCAATTCGTAACTTCCTCATAAAAGGTAGAAAAACTATAGATTATTTATGATGAAAGTGTCAGAATGTCTGCTTATTCTGCCATCTATTCGGCGTGTGTGTGCATGTGTGTGTGCACATTTATGTGAGCTGGCTTGTGTGCACAGGTGTGCATATGCTTATGGAGACTAGAGGTTGATACCTTCATTTACCCTCCACTTCAACTGTACAACCTCTCTCTCCCTGAACCCGGAGCTTGCTGATTGGCTGGAGTGTTGTGTTATCAGAATGAACCCCAGCATCCTCCTGGCTCCATCCCCACAGTACATTTTTGTTCTTGTGTTGACATTTTGGGTACGAGCTGAGGACCAAATTCAGGTCCTCGGGCTTGCAGGGTAAGCGTTTTATGAACCAAGCCTTCTCCTCAGCCCGGTTCTGGTATTTTTGATAAACAAAGCAGTTGCTTTTCATTGCTGAAGAAAAAGCTGAAAGAAGGTGGGAGTGTGCCTTCCCTGTCGCCACCAAACATGCAGTCAATCAAGTTCCCTCTGCAGCAGAATGCTTTCCCAGAAACGTGGCTGCCTTCTCAATTCTGCCGTGTGTCTTCCTGTCATGTTCCTCTCAGGGACTCCCGAGAGCCTTGCTGAGAAGGAACGGCAGCTCATGGGGATGATCAACCAGCTGACCAGTCTGCGAGAGCAACTCCTGGCTGCCCACGATGAGCAGAAGAAGCTGGCTGCCTCGCAGATAGAGAAACAGCGTCAGCAGATGGAGCTGGCCAAGCAGCAGCAGGAGCAGGTGAGAGAGACTGGGGGCAAGGGCATCCTCAGCCAGCTGCCGCCTGTTCCTGGTAATACTGTTCTCAGTAGAGGATGATGCATAGCACTCCTCCCCGGTCCCTAGAAAGGAAAGGAAAGGACAGAAAGCAAACACACCCTCCCGCCCTTGCTTAATGGAACCATGTAACTACTTTGGTGGAACCACAATAGTGCGGTGGACTAACCATCCCACCTCTGAAAACCTGAACTGAAATGTCTGAAATTCCCCCAAATCCCAAACGTACCTTTAGTACCAGCAGGATGCCACGCGTGGAAAAATCTGACAGCTAGGCTCATAGGCCGAGTCCCGACCAAAGCCTCGGAGTGCAAAACATACTGTAGAGAATTATCTTCGCCACATGGGCACAAGATGTTTATGACGTGAAAATGAATGTCGTTTTAGATTTAGTTCACCTCTCCGACAGACGTTCAAAAATCCTGCAAGGCCAATCTAAACAAAGCTAAACACAAGGACATCTGGGTGCTTCTAGCCCCTAAGCATTCCACTAAAATATTTCTCAGCCTTCGGTTGTAGTTTTACTGAGGGGGTGAGGGCAATCCCAGGAAAGAACCGTGTCAAACGCCTTCCTCTTCAGTTGACACAACCATTGTGATTGTGAACATAGCATAACTGTGGTCACTCTCAATGGTTCCTGTGAACAATCCCTCGTGGGTCCGTGAAGAGCTAGCAGGCCCTACCCACCTCTTACTGCTGAATTGTTGACTATTGGTAGATTCTGGGGTCATTGTCCCCATTTGTATCATAGGTGTTGAGCCTACCTGGCTCTAATGGACAGCTCTAAGCCCATAGTCACACAAACGCTGCTGGCTAGACTCTGGATCACAGAACAAAATGAATGGGCATGAATATGAGGGAGAGACTGATAGGGAAGAGACACTTACACAAGGGTGGTAGGGGGATGGGAGGTCGTGGGACATGAGAGTGGTCCATGTGGCACTCCGTAGCCGTGTAAAAGCCACAAAACAATTCATTAGTGTGTTGTTGTGGAATGGTGGAAAGAACGAACAGACCACAGAGAGTTCAGAACACATTCCCTGTGGGGACAGTTTGAGAAAGAATGGTTAATGGTGGTGTCAGCTAAGTTCACGTTGAAGACTGGGTAGGATTCAGGCAGGGAAGTGGGGTTCTGATGGGGAGGCAGGAAGTTACCTGATATTGCTCTTACAAGTTCTGTATTTATAGATAGGGGTGACTCTAAACCAGGTGGTGTGGACAGCGTGAACATGGAGATCTGAATAGAGTCATGTGAGCAGGGTTTGCTGAGGGGGCAGGAAGAAGGGAGCTAATGAATGTTGATCCTGGGTAGAGTTGAGAGTGGAATGCAGGTTTGAACTAAGTGAAGAAATATCTGGGCAGCATGGTTTGAACAGTGTGGGGTGTTCTCCACTCACTTGCCTTTTTTTTTTTTTTAAGTTCTTTACTGCTTCACGAAAGATTATTCTGCTCTTTATGGGAGGGGATGCTAATGTTTTTAATTTTTCTTTCCTTTTCTTTTTTTCCTCCTCGTAGTTACCATTTTTTATGTTTTTATATGTCTCACTGTGTAGCCCAGGCTGTCCTATATTCTGTGTCCTCTTGGCTCAGCTGCCCAAATTCTGGGCTTGCAAAGATATGCCACCGTATCCATTATATTTTAATTTTAGTGAAATACCTTATCATTTTCCTTTAAGATGAACTTGTGCTATTTTTGGACACATCCATATTCTTGCTTTGCCCGGTGAGAAGTTCTGACATTTCTGTGATTGTAATAGGCCGGGTTTGTCCTTGAATGTCCAATGCCATCAGCCAAGTCACCCCACAGCTCAGATGAAGGGATTGTTTGCAGAGGTCCCCTGCTCACCTCGGAGGACCTGGGGGCAGCTTCCTCTTTTGAAAAGCAATGGGTTTTTCTGCTCATTTCGTCATACAGTCTGGCCCATCTATGAGTGTCATCAGTAGATTCTAGAACGTTTCCTTTTTTCGCGATCTCTGGCATTCTTCTTGGCACCTTAGAAACTAGCCTTGAGATCTTTCCTGAGTGCTCTTCGGTGGGAAAGATGTCTGGCGGTGCTGCCCCCTCTGTCTGATGAGCACCCCCGGGAGAGGCACAGGTTAGGATTGGGGGTATCCAGGACACTCCCCAGTCTGGTCATCTCTCTGGAGCAGCCCTGGGCACCTCCTCTCTGCACTCACAGATCTTCACTCCTCCTCAGGCTGGGGTCAGGAACTCGGGAGTCATCCCAGCCGGTATACTTCTGTATATAAGGGCCTGAGTCCAATCTCAGGTGTGGGGATACATGCTTGGACTCCCAGAAGTGAGGTCCCTGAGGCCCATTGACCAGTCAGCCTTGCCTACTTGGCAAGTTTCAGAACAGTAAAAACACGGTTTCAAAAAATATGGTAGACAGCATTTGAGAAATTATAGCCAAAATTGTCCTGGCCTACACACATACACACACATGCACACACACATACACACACACACACATACACACTCACATGAGAGGGGGAGGGAGAAGAGTGTGTGTGTGTGTGAGAGAGAGACAGAGACAGAGAGAAGAAAGAGATAAATCAAAACTCCTTTATTCTGACCCAACTTTCTGTGCAGTTCCCATTAGTGTGGGTTATCACCCTTTGCATGTGCTAATTGACACGACTCTCACAAATACTGGAGTCTATTTCTCCACCACAGCAGCCTTCCCACCAGATTCAGAGCTTCTGTCCAGGGCTATCTATTCAACAAATCCTTATCGGTCAGGTTCCAATCTAGATATTAGAGGTGGAGAAGGACATAATAATCCCCTGGTGGGCTTCAGAACATTTTCATGAGTGTTGAGAAATACAAAGACAGGGATTGCAAGTGAAGGTCCAGATGCAGAGCTGTGCTCTGTTAAAGCTGCAGCCTTAGGAAAAGTGATGAGGTAAGAGATGTGGGCAGAGTCTAGAAGGTAAGGGAGCAAGCTACGTGGCCACCCAGCCAGGGGGCCCCAACAGGAGCTCACAGCAAGCGCAAAGGTTCAGATGCAGAAATAGCTCTGAGAAGTAGAAGGATGCTCGGTGTGTTCAAGAGGAAGGGAGGAGAGAACTCTGGCCAAAGTGAAGAGTCAGGCCACGGGAGGAGATGAAAGGGAAGAAGGAGACTGAACTTTACGGGCTTTCAGTCACGATGCGGTTGCTGCCTTGTGCTCTTGAGTGGGTGGGACAGAAGCGTTTTGAAAAGATGAATAGCGTGGCATGCTATGTCTTTAAAAATCTATCTATGGACACGAGCTTATAATAGAATGAGGGAAGAAAGGGTAGAAATAAAGAACAGCAGTGAGAGGTTGTTATATCCATCTAGCTTAGGCTGTGGCTTAGCACAGGAGCCAGGAGGGAAGAAGGGCCGAAGTGGTCAGGTTCTTGACGGATTCTTGTGGTATTTCTGACAGGAACAAGGTGTCAAATGGAGTGATGCTATGTGAGATACAATCGCCAAACATGGCAATTGAATAATCTTCTTAAAGCAAACAAACAAGCCAAACAAAACCCACCTTTGTCCTTACCTTCTTCAGAGGAGAGGAAAGGTTCAGAGTTATGCCCTAGCACATCTGCTCTGTAGCCGGGAAGGGATAACAACATCTGCAGTGCAGTCATGCCCCCCCCCCCCCGTCTTCCGTTCCTTCTCAGCTTTCTAATAAAGAAGTTAAAGGAAATAGTTACGTAATCAAAATGACAGGCAAGCCCAGGTCTCCTTGTGAGAATGAGGCGCAGGGTTACCCATTACGGTGGTAAGCTCTGTGAGGTCAGAGGTTGCCTTTCGGGGTTCCCACTAGAAGTCAGACATTGTGAACCCATCTCCAGACTCCCTGATCTTAGCAAGTACACGCTCATCGTGGCAAATGCACATAAACATGCTCTTGATTTAACTTCACTGCACTCTTAGGTGTTTCCTATGCATAGGGAGTTCTCAGGGTATTATGCTGAGTTCACAGAGAAGGGGCTGAGTCCATGTCAGTGGGATGTCACCACTCTTCTCTTAGGTGGAAAACTCCCAAGGCTGTCACATGCAGGTCTAAATCTCAATTCATTGTAGGCCTGTTGAAGTTGAAGCATCCTTGAGTATGTGTGAGCAGAGATGGGTCTGAAGCTTGAAACAAAAGTCTTGTTCAGGAGAACAGACATAGAACCAGAAGTCGTGTGCACAAACATAGATGGGGGGGGGAATGGTATTGATATTAAGCCTTTGATGATTGCCACATCTAATTCAATGCAGAATTAAAAGAGAGTGCCAGGTCCTGGAGCCAAGGGAGAAAGTTCAAAACCAAAAGCATTGGAGGGTGGGATTATGATTGGATTGAAAGGGTGGGATCATAACACATTGTGAAAGAGAGAGAGAGAGAGAGAGAGAGAGAGAGAGAGAGAGAGAGAGAGAGAGAGAGATGACCGGTGCCCCTAGGAGGTAAAAGTGGACAGACTAAGTGTGTGTGAGGGACGACTGTTGAAGGAGTCGGTGGGAGCCCCAAGTGAGAATAGTATCTAACCAAATGGACAATCCAAAACTTCATTGAGGAGTCTAGTTCTTTGAGGCCTCGAGCTACTCTGAACATTGTTCCAGTAGTCCCCCTTTTCATCAAAACACGTTGTTTATGGACTGACAATGTCGGTAGAGGGACCTGTTGCTATGTCACTGTTGAGAATGATAATTGAACACTTTCAGTGTCTCACTATGATGGGGAACTGTTTAGACTTCAAATGGGGTGTAAGTGGTCACTGAGATGAAATGTCTCACTTGATACTCCTTGGGGATGACCTGCTGACAGTTCAACTCATGAGGAGTGATGTTTGCATCTTCTCGTGAGCATCATATCCAATCTTTGGTGGGTAGAAGGTTGCCCTTCCCACCCTGGGTCTCACTGTGTCCTCTATGTTTCTCCACAGATCGCAAGGCAACAACAGCAGCTTCTGCAGCAACAACACAAAATCAACTTGCTTCAGCAACAGATCCAGGTCAGAAATCAGATTTTCAACATGTTCCTTTTAAAGAGAAAATTTCTTGTTCTTGTATAACTCGGTGGAAATGACCTCCAAGCTGGAAGTGCTTTCTGGCCCCGTTCTCTATATGTTGTCTGTGTGGTGCATGTTCAAGTGGTTCCTCTGCCACACGCTATACCTTGACAGGGAGCATCCATCTGAGCAGGCTGCCAGCAGCTTCTTCCTTGTACCTAGGAGCGATCATTATAGAGTTCTGTTCCACTCCTTTATGCTTTAGTGTCGGAAGATGAGCCTGAAGACATTCCTAATGGGGTAGATGGAGGACCAAGCAGAGAGGTACAGCTGGGTTTTGGTCGCAAACTCAGAGATTCTGTTGACAGCGGCTTGTGATCAAAGAGGGGCTGGGAGAAGGTAGTGATTCGGTATGGGGCATATCTCACAGTGGAACTGCCTGGGGAGATCAAGTCCGTCTTTATTCTATGGATATCCACAGTGTTGAAGGACACTGATAAGGTAGACATACCTGCCATGGTAGTTGGTGATGAAATCAGTCACGAGAAGAGACTTGCTTTCTAATGTGTACTAATATGAACTTGAACAGAACTCTTTCGTCTTCATCTTGAAGGGGTGTCACATGTCTTGGAGACTCTAAGTTTAAATGATTGTCTGGTTCAGGATTAAATTATTAAATTATTGTTATCATATTAGGGTAGAAATTCATCATTCTTGGAACTTTTCTATTGGGATATAATATTTTATAGTGTACATATCATAGAGGCAGATGTAGAAAGTATTTCATTCAGGTTATCAGTGTGGCTTTAATTTATTTACTGACCACACTCCTTCCCTTTTCTCTGACCGGCTCAGCTACTATGACTTTATCCTAGGACATGTAGGCCAGCACTTATTCTTTCTTAGTCCATCCATAGTCAGGAACTTTCTAAAGCTTAAATTCCATTTGCTATCTGAAAATACTTATCTGATATTCTGATCTCCGTCTCTTTCTCTTTCTTTAAAATGAAGCTGTAACACCTTGTGTAGAAGTCAACATACCAACAGGCGTTATTCATCCCCGCTGCACAGGCTGGGCTGTTTTGTTCCATTGTTGCTGCTTCAGACCTCACAAAACAATGAATTCCAGTTTCTGTGTTATGGAACATTGAGCTAGACCGTTATCTAAGCCACACGTAGACTGCCCCAAAACCCTTTGTTGAGGTAGTCTACCTATTAAGAAAGGCGTTTGCCATCCTTCGTGGGTTAGATAGCTCTACTCAGTAAGCTAGACTGATTTTGAAGACTTGCAGCTAGAAAGCTTTACACAGGACTGGCATGTTGCAAAATTCTGTCACCAAATGGTGACTTGTTCAGGGTTTCTCTTTGTTTTTAGTTGGTCTCTCTGAAGGTGAGGTTATTTTGGGCATCTTTCTTCCTCATCTAAAATTTATATTTCAATGAGCAGAAGTGGGGGCATTTTCACACTTACGAACCAGTTTCTACATCAAAATCACTCTTGACCTGTGAGTTTGTTCTCCTCAGTCCTGAACAGAATGAAGGTAAGTTACACTCTGCTGCTTGTTCTGGGGGAAAATCCCACATAGATTTGCACAAGAAATACTTTCCTTAAATCACTGAGGGTCAGTTCTTTATGAAAGATTTTTTATGGCTCTTTAAAAGCAAGATCATTCTGAAATCCATGATTTTAATTGGAGTGAATGTTCTTTCTATATATCTCATGCTAGAGGCTTAACGGGGTTAGCATCTTTTGACAGAACTCTTCACACAACTCATTGGAGTTAGAAGAAGAATAAAGGTTTCTGTTCTGCTTTAAAATGACACAGATAATAATGTCTAGATCCAGACCTTGTCATAACACCAGAACCCTTCGCCTTGCCTCAAGAACATGTCCAGGTCCTGCTGAGAGCTGATGCTGGGACAGTGGAGGCTGCAACTTTCTTTCCCCACACGGCAGCAGGATCTCCTAAGATGCTCGTCTACCAGCCTTAAAGGAATGAGCTTTATTCCCACCTGTTGTGACCAGCCCTGAACACACTGTAATGTATGACATGGATTTTCTACAGACTGCAGAAAAAGCTGTCTTCCCAGGTTCATTTTTTCAGAGAGAAACTTCTCTGTTATTGACTTTTCCTTCCTTCCTCTATGTGAACTTTCTACAGTAATAACTTTTTAGCAATGCATTTCCCGATTTCCTTTTTACAGTAAGTCACTCTGTGTCTGATGTGGATGGTTCTCTGTGTTTCACATAATGAACCAAGGCTGGCGGTCCATCTTGACCTGACTCACTAAAGGAAAACCTTTCAGGAAAGAGAATAAATGTCCTCCACTCAGCTTCTCTATGACAACAAATTGAGCATCCCCAGAGATGCACATTTCTTTTCTGGTCGGACTCTGAGGAGATGGAGTTTCTGCAGCTTTGGGGGCGGGGTTTACAGGCATGCCTTAGTTTATGTGTTCACCTATTTCTAAAAGTACCAGATAGAATTCATGGGCTTTCTTGTCTATGAACAGTGTTGATCCCACAGTGTGTTCAAGGATGAAATCCTTTAACATATCTTAAGAGAGCCTGCTATTTGTCAGAGGCATTTGTCTCGCAGCTCGCTACGGGACTTTATGTCTGAACTTTAAGAGAGTCATGGCATTCCTCCATCTCCTGCTCTGAGCAGCTTCTGGACCACTGTTCGCTGTGTTCTCTCGGGGAGAAAGAATCAGTCACTTATAACCCAGTGTTACGGTTTCTGATCCGTAAGGTAAGCAGGCCACGTTAGTCACTGTTCTGGCCCATTGACCCTGCCCATGGCTGCTTGGGCGTGAAGGAAGCCCTTAATCCCTCTGGTGTTCCCATTGGGTAGGGACATTCCAGTCTAAAGCACACAAGAGACTCAACCCTCAGCTTATACCTGAGAGGCTTCCTGAGGAGAACTGTTCCTGACTGAGCTGCCCTCAAACCAGTCTGCACATTGGCATGCCTTGTTAGACCAGTGACGCTGAGACCCTGGCTTTTGTCCTCTGAAGTTCTTCCTTCTCAGCTATAAAATGGGGATTTTAATACCTGAGGAGGGACGCCTCTGAGGAGAATCATTTGGCAACCAGACACCAGGTTAGGAGGAGGGAGAAAAATGTGTTCTTTCAGTGTTTCCAGGGCCAGACAGCTTTAGTATCTTCTCTAAGCACACACACCCAGGCATGTACACACCATATAAGTATTCACATACATTCACATTTACATAAACAATCACACGCATACTCGCATACATGTATGCACAAAGAGATACACCTATACATATATACATAAAGAGATTCGTACATACGTGTATATATCTATATACATACTTACACAGAGACACAAGAATATAGACACAGTCACTCACATATGTACACATATTCACACACATATACACACATTCATACAGTCACACCCATATATACACAGACACACAAACAGACATACACATACACACAGAAAAATACATACACCCTTATAGACATGCACATACAGAAACATGCATATACATGTATGGAAATTCATTTATATGCATATACGTACATACAAATATATGTACACACAAACATACATATACACATTTCACATATATACATACTTATATATGCATATGTATGCATACTGGTTCACATGCACAGGCATATAGACAAACATATACCCACATGCATGCATTACATGTAAACACACATAGTACTCATGTAGATACACACATGTGCACACACATGCATATGAACACAATCTACACAGGGTCATCACTGCAACTGAGAGTACAATGTTGCAGATTCATGAGATTTTCGAACTTCAACGGGTTTTCAAAAGTTTCTATTTGGATTCATCTCTCTTTTTCACATTTGTGATCTGAGACACTTAAGATTGGATTTTCCCCACATCTAAAAGTTGGGGATGCTGGCTACTTCTAAATATCCCAAGTTTGAGCCCCATTCATTTCTATCCTACCAATATCCTACCATTTATAGCCTAATGGTCCAGCTTTGAAAATGAGTTCCCCCCAGCCCTGGGAACTTAAGCTTACAAAGTCAAAATGTAACTTGACTTAGGTGCAATTGAATGATTAAGTCACAGTCATGGGTTCAACCAGTTTGTGAGAAAGGCTTCGTTTTATTGGAGCCAAAGTTCTCCGAGCTCATTAGAATTTGGGTAATTCTTGATAGATTATTATGCAGAAAGAAACCTACTGAAATACTGTATTGAAAATATAATAATGTTAGCAGTGACACAATCGTGCTTAGCTGGCCTACTGATTTATGATTTCTTTCCCTGAGTGTGGTAAGTCAGAGGCCTTTTACTCCCCACAGTAAGACCCCCACATAAAGGCGCACATGGAGATTACAAGGTAACCTTGTCTCTTTGGGAGACTGGAAATGCCAAGAACAAGCAATGGGCCATTAAGGCAGCATTTGAACCTGAGAAGGGACTTGATTAACCCCTGGAGTTCCAGCTCCGTTTGTACTGTTTGAAGTACAAATCCCATGACTGGCGGGATGTGTATGCTCTTGGTGCTGACACAGGAGACTAGAAGTGGGCACAGGGAGATGGAAGTCGTTTCACGCGCCCCCTGCTCTTCTGTCTTTCATGTTCTGGAAGCAGAGCTGCTTGGGCAGGAACGTATGTCCTGACCGAGAGGCCCAGGGCTGTGACTGACAGCACACCAGCTGGCTGGGCTTTTCCTCAGAAGAGATACCTGGAGCCCCTGTGAGATTGTTGCTTCAATAGGTCTCCTGGCAATAGCGCGATTTCAGGATTGCAGGGATCCCCATTCCCCTTCTCTCTAGGCCAAGCTGTCTCTGTATTCAGAGGCAGGGCTAGGTGGATTTGCATCTGAATCATCATTTCCATCAATAGAGCCCATGTTATATGGCAAAATGGGCACTGGGAATAATGAAAGCAACCATAAGGCCCCCCCTGGTCTTTATGTCTTACACATACACACACACACGCACACACACACACACACTATAGTGTGGTGGCTCACATC